TTTTTTGGACCGGTGTTGGCAATTATTCTGCCTATGGTCTCTCTTCTTTCTCTTTTTTTGCTTTTTTTTTTTGGTTCGCTTGCACCCTGCAAAGTTAGTTAGATTGTGTTTCAGGGCGTTGGACTACCTCGTCATGTCGCTGGTTATTGGGGTGGATCAATAGTTTCCACATTTTTACATTGGCGGTAACAATCTAGAGTTACGAGTCATTCTCATCTGGATATGTCGGTTGCGACATCCCCCGCGTGGGAAAGATGCGGAGGACTGGGGAAATCCCAATCGCGCCCACCGAGACATGAATTCCCCATGGCTTTTGTTCAAGCCACTGACATCGATCGTGCAGGCCGTTATTTTACCACCCCCTTGCTATCGCACGGACCATGGTAATCGAGTTAAGGTGCATTCCAAGAATGGCCGTGTTGTATACTCCCGGTTTTACTCCGCATGTTCTTACTCCATACGGAGTACTCCGTACGGAGCACTCCGCATATACATACATATACAAGGATGTCTACGGAGTTGACATTTCGTATCTGGGCTTCCGCCACTTCCTAAGAGCAATATGCGAGCTGACCAGTAAATTAGCATTTGCACAATAGGCTCTGAGGGCATCTTGTGGATAGAGCAGCGCGTGTGGGAAAAGGTTCTACTACTAAAATTGGCCCGTGGGTTTTACGTTAAGCTTGCGGCTTTCGATCTACCTCATTGGTGTGCTGATCGAATTCCGCAACATCCAAATCCCCATCCTTCCAAGCTTCCTATGCATGAAGCGCTAGTATCAGATGGAATCAGTTCCTTGATGGAACGTCATCAGCTAGAGCCATTACCCATAGCCGCTTCGTTACCTCCAGCCCCACCCCGCAACGCGAAGCATCCTTTCCCACATCTCGACCACCTATTCCATCGCACCGAGGAGCTTTTTTGACGGCGGATATTGTCTGGAACCACAGCTTTTCGCCTCTCCCAGAATGGCTTCTACCACCATCTCCGTGCCGGAGTTGGTGATATCGCGTGCTGCTTCAGGTGAAACCAAAGTCCTGTTGAGAGTAACGACAACATCGCATTGGATAGCTATCCAAGGTAAAATTACAACAGATGACTGCATAGAGTATTCATCAAGATCTAAAGCCATTTCTGAAAAGCACCGATCGGGCTCTATGAACACCCCGACAACCAATATACAGAGCACCACTCCCGACCTCATTGTGTACACGAACCGACTTCAGTCAACATCACCATCTCCTATATCCGTGGAACATACGGCTCTCAACATTGACAGACGCTAGTATCAGAGAGCACGGAGATTCACTTCCGCCCGATAAGACTTCAATCGTCCTCCGGTTTGTTCTCCGGGTTCTCAGGATCATATTTCCAGCGGCGGTGGTTCTCCTTAACCCACCACTTGGCCACATGGGCCGCCTCGTTGAGCCATTTCACGGCCTCTGGCCCATGCTCCTTCCGCACGGCGTCGATCAGAAACAGGAGTTGGTGATCTTCCTGAGGACTGAGCTCGAATGGATCGGCGATGACATCAGTGAATCGCCACTTGGCGTCAGGTTTGAGAGGCACGACCAAACGGTACGGCTGTGCGGCCGCTCGCATGCAGAACCACGTTCCACCAGGGTTCATCGTGGAGAAATGCCATTCTTGCTTGCCGTTGTGCTCGGGAATGAGTGCGCGTATCATTGACTGGCCCTCGTACATGGGGAGCAGATCTTTGATGATCTTAGTCGACTGCTCGTCAATAGAGGAGGTTTCGACGAGAAGATCGAGGATTGTGGGGAGAATTTGGGTGGAGAGGACAGCATTATTGACCTCGATCTGGGGTAGCTTAGGGTGCGAGAAGAATAGCGGCACGTGGAAATTGCCAACGTGAGGGGAATGCCAGGCGGTTATACCACCATCATTTGGAAGTGATAGACCGCTAGATTAAGTTAGAGGCTGGATGGACTGCGAGATATAGATAAAACTTACTGGTCACCAGTCATCACAAGAAGGGTCTCATCGGCAATACCGGCATCATCGAGAAGCTCCAGGATCTCGGCCACCCACTCATCCTGGTAGGCCATAGTATTTAGGTATCGGTTCAACCTCTCGTTCCGTTCACTCGACACATCCCCCATCATCTCCTCATAATCACCAGGTATATAATACGGAGTATGTGTATTATGTGTTAGATGGCTAAGGAAGAGGCGGGTGTTGTTCTTCTTGGCATCGTCGATGACATCCCGGAGATAATTTTTCAGCACCTTATCCTCATGGCCATGTTCCTCTTCCTCTTCTGTCTCTTCTGGGATATATTTACCCCCGGCTGCATCAATTGTCCTCTTTGCCATGACGTCTTTGTATCCCAAAGCAGGAGAAAGCATGTAATGCTTATCCCAGTCGTCAGGGTGTGACTGCATCCACATGGTGTGCCACGGCCAGGAAGTCCAGTCATCTGTCTGACTGTTGTTGTCTATTTGACTGGTGACGTTTGGCTGCTGATTCAATGCCTCGAGTATATGCGGCAAGCAGGGCTGGTAAATATCGTGCAGGTACTCGAGGTTGGCCTCGACAGCCATAGGATTCACTCCGCATACAGTGCCCGTAATACTCTTTAGGGTGTAGGTCCCGGACGTGTAGGCGTTCCTCGTACTGATGCCACCATAGGGCTTTGGATGATCATCGCTGTCCTTCCGGAACCCGGTCTTATGTCCGGTCAAACGCTCGGCGGTAGGAGTGAGCTTAGAGAGCCTATCCTGGACCTTCTCGGGGATGCCGTTCGGGTAAGAGTCGTTGATGTGTTTCATGATATAAGAGTCTGAGCGGAAAGGCCACACGTCCTGGCGAGTGCTCTCTAACTTAATGAGAATGACATGTTTAATCTTCACACTTCCGTTGTGAAGAAGTTCACGTACAGGCTCCAAAATATCGTTCTGGAGGTTGGGCATGTGCAGAGGATCTTTCATCGGGTTGTAATGTTCATACACATAGTCAGACTTGTTGTGCTTATTGATACGGAAGGGAGACCAATCGGGAAAGCCATCTGACGAGTTGTACGAAGGTAACCAGTCAAATGTGGGAAAGGAGTCCAGAGCGGTGTGGTCTTCCAGCCAGCTGAAATCGGCCGATAACAAGGTGGAATTTCCTTTAGTGGCATTCCCATAGCTGGCACCGCCTGGGGTGCCTGCCGGTGTACTCTGCGGGGTACTTTCTGGGGCATTTGGCGGGGTGCCCGCCGGAATACTTTCTGGAGTACTTGCTGGAGCATTTCCTGACGCGCTTCCTGGAGCGGCACTTCCACTCGCCGACGTGGGACTTTCATCAGTGGCCGCATATTCGTGGCTGCCGAACGGCGCGAGAGACAGGGAGTCAGAGAGATAACTATAATCCGCACCGCGTGGACGAATGCAACTGAGGAAAACTATGATCAAGCCACACGATATGGCGATAACGCGCTTCAGCAACGACCGCTTCTGCTTCTGCTCGGGTGGAGCCAGGGGCATATCCAGTTGCGATATAGAGTCGCTGTCGTTGTGACCTTCATCATAGTCATCGATTTCAATCTGCTGATAGGTCTCTGGATCTGACGGCGCTTCTTGTCGAAGATATCGACGGAAAGGAGAGAACAAAAACGAAGCCCAAATTCCCAGGAAGGTTTCTGTGGCTTGGAATAAACACGGCGTAGCGAAGTACGCACTGATCATAATCAACGTGTCGACAAGCATGGCGACAGTCAACATGGACAGGACAGTCTGGGTAGCGGGACTGGGATTGTCCTCATGAGAACTTTCCGATTTCCCCCAGGGAATCTCCACGCCTGTATGTACATAGAAGGAGATGTTGGCGGAGGTCATCGACGAGATATATAAACTGGGATTTGGTTAGTGATTTGCTGTCTCTCAATGAGTCCGGACAACAGCTCACCTGAATAGAAGAGTTACAACAGCCGCTACGTTCTGCCAGATCCGCGATTCAAACGAACGCGTCAGGCAGCAGGCGACCAGAATGAGTAGGATGTCCACCAGGAAGAAGGTGGGTCCCCACGGAACCAGCGATGGAACCGCGAGCGACGTGAGATGGACGCAGAGATGGAAGCATTTTGATATTATGAGGGAAATGAAAGTGATGGAGAAGAAATACGTGCGAGAACTGTCCAGATAAAGCTGAGGGGATCCGGCGACTTTGAGGGCAAAAATGGCTGAATCCTCAAGCTGCCTACGGAGCTGGGCGAGGTCTCCTCCATGCAATGAAGATTTCATAGTGCCAAAAAGAGCACCCTCCGAAGGGAAAGGGAAATTGGGGACGGAGACATAAACCGATAAGAGAAAGATTACAAGGCTAAAAATGGAAAATAGAAAATCCAGGGGTCCAGCAATATAGGGCGGGGCATAATCTTACAAGTTCATCCGCTTTAACTCTTCCAGGGCTCTTCAATTCTCTTGGCACCGAAAGTGACCACGTGCGGAATTACCGTGAAGGGCAAGTGGTACGGGTAGACCCCCACGAACCAAACCAATCAGATCAACGGTACCTTGGAAAGCAAACCAAACAAACTAAACAAATTAGTAAACAAAAATCGATCCCGAGCTCTATGACCTCTCAAACTAAGACGGCTTTTCAGCTAGCAGGCAGTTGTTGACTCCAATGGAATTATTGTTGATCAAATTTGCTACCCGGTGATGGTGGACTTGGCACAATCATAGACATCATCAAGTCTCAGTTTTCTAGACACAAACGAACACGTACCATTTACCATGCACTCCGGGACCAATGCAACCTTGGAAGTAGGATGTTGCTGTCTCTGGCCAATTATGAGGTGAGCACTAAGACGGAAAGAGAAAACCGGATTTGCCAGGTATTCTCCCAGAAGGATTTCTCCCAGTATATACCTACGAGGCAGTTCTATTGTATGTCGTCGGAGAGCAACTTCTCTACTTGTAATAAAGGGGCTATTTCAGGATCAACAGCACTTTGGGACAAATTTCTACACGGTAGACAGGCATCAAACCAGATGTTATTGTCCGAATGAGGCGAGCTAACTGACATTCCCCTCTTTCAGCCTTGTTGCCAAGGGCAAATATGTTGATCGACATGGGGCTGTGCTTGGCACACATAAATCCGGGGTGCGTATCGTTTGAGCTCCAAATACACTATAATACAATGTGTCTTCCATTGGCAACATGTAGGTTGTTATATTGCTAGCTAGATTCCTCGAATTTTGGTGTTCAGGATTGTTGCAGGAAGATAGACTCTTAGCAAATCAGGATTGAGTGACCACCCATACATCCTAAAATGCCAGAGCATCAAAATCCACTTGGTAAAGGCAGTTCGAAGCTCATCTATTACCGGCTTTTGATGACCGTATCAAATTCAGGCACCCACAGAGCACCTAGGTATTAATAAATAATTTATGGATGAGCCCTGGAGGTCACTTGAAAATGCTTTCCCTGCTGAACATTAAGCAATATCGTGACATACATGGTTCAATCTCTTCTGGATAAGGGCGACTTGTACTATACTATAGCGATAGTGCAAATTATTAGATATATAAACTGATACGATCGTATATACAGACGCAAATTAATTCTAAAACACAGTAGCCGATGTGAAAACATAACATATTAAAACATATCGCAATGACAATTATTGAAATCAACGGACCCCTCTGAACGCTACATAAATTACCTAGCATACATTACCTAGCTATGTGACTCGTCTCTGCCTCTCTTCAACCTTTTCCTGTTCGCTCTCCTCTTCAGCTCGTAAGGTAATTGCCAACAAAGGTGCCCCTAACCGACGCATATGACCCTGCTATCCTTGCTGGCGATAACTAGCCCAATTCTGACATTTCCCTTCGAATCCGCAGACCATTTTGCTACGTCGGCGCGGAGTTGGCTCAGGCTTTCGGACACTCCCTTCTCAATCACAAGAGTTGGCCATCCTATCGAACTAAGTGGCCTTGCGCAGCGGGAGGGCGGGACAAATGTGCTAGTTATGGCCATCAAGGATAGCAGGGTCGGCATTAAAAGATGGCAATTGGCTCCAGTTGGGGCGCCGGTGCCTCTGCCTTAGGACTGCATCGCCTCTCTCTTATCTAGATTAACATTAATTTCAATTGGTTTGGTAAATCTGAAAGTGCCAGTATCACCTACTGATGACTTTAGAAGCAACCCCAGGCGGAGGCCTGGCTTCTTTTCGAAGTCGGTGTACGTAATTGGATCCAGTTATCATAATATAGCCTTCTCCGTTTGGTTCCACAGAGGGCCTCCGTCTTATTGATGTTCGCCACGAGGCCCTATTCCGTCATCGGGCTCTTCCCATCATAAAATTTGAAAGCGGGTCAACTCCGCTAGGTCAAGTCGTCTTCTGGCAAGGAAGGTCGACCGTCGAAGACAGCTTCAGTCGACCATACCCACTAGAAGGCGGAGTTCGGAGCAAGTTGACCGAAAATTTCTCGCAGTCTGGCGCAGAGCTTGGGCGTTTACCCTGATTTACGAACGCGAATCTCAACCAAATCATGACCTGATCTATGTCTGTGGCATACTATGTTGTTGCGCTTTCCTGAAGATTTGTGCCACTCTATCATAACATGAGAAGTCAGTCATCATATTGAACAAGGCCCCTTTCTGTCTAATGCAGACAGGTACGTGTAGTGCTTATCGACATAGTCCACATATGGTCAACTTTGTCTCTTTGCTGGGATTTTGACCACATCAAGCAATCGCCGCGATGATTTCAGCCTCCAGTCAGCACCTACACATAGCCAGCAGGAGAAGCGACGGGACATCGCTCAAGAGCTCGCTTTCTTGGTAGAATCACAAGGCCGAGCCACCGCTTTCACACGCATGGCTAACGGGTTGTCCGATGATAGCTGAATGATATTTGCATATTTTGCCCGTTGTCCATCGTAGGTGAGCGGGGATCGTAAGAGAAGAATTTGCGAATTTAGGGACGGCTTACCCTCCTATAGGAGGTTGGGGTGTACATGTATTGAGATGTCGTCCCCCTCGGCGAAAGAAATACATTGATTCCCAGTGTAGTCCATGGAATGAGTCGAGACAGGCATGTTGAAAGATGGGGACAAGGGAACGAGGCCTGATGGATGATGAAGGTAAGAGCCATGAGGGGATCGAGACAGACATCTTGATGAGGGGAGGGGAGATTGGGGGGATGCGGATGAATGGTTCTTCGAGGCAAAAGCCGCAAGTCAAATGGTTTATATAGTGAGGTACGAGTGAGAGCACTTGAAGGAGGTGTTGATGAACTCTCAGGTAAAGGCCAGGTACCTTCTTATGTTTCTCAATCAAGTTATGATATTATGTCAATGATCGTAGGACTATGGAAGTTTTCGTTTACATCACGACAGGTCGAAAGAATGTCAAATTTGCATCATCATTCAAATATCTCCTTGACATCAAAAGACCTTGCCCTTCATCTACCTAAACCAAAACTAATCACTCCCTATCTAGGTCCTGTGGCTGTACAACAGGGAATCCAAGAGCTTCTCTTTTCAGGAGTGCCGTTTCTCTCCACTTCTGAAACTCAGACAAACGCCCCAGTACAGATGCTCCATTGTATCGGGCGGACTCTAAATGAGCACCTTGGCCAGTCAATCCGCAAGACCAATGGTAGTCGTCCGTCTTCCATTCGCCAGCATGGAGATGGTACCGATTCTCTCGTAAATGAGTTGAGTCCCCCATACTCCTCAGTTATGTAGCCCATATTAGTCATGGTTCTCAGCCATTTTGTCCAAGAGTACAAAGGCCATTGTGGGCGTGTTTTGTACTTCAGATCCTCGCTCATCTCACCCGTCCGTTCATCGTTATACCTGGAGGTGTGAGCATCATTATCCAGCCAATCGCAGTATTCGGTGTCACGAGGGGGAGATGGTAAGTTCTTCTCCGCCGAGTGAAAGTCATAGACGATGTTCTTAACGGTGATCACACGGTCCTCGTAGGAGTTCCCACTGCCGCCTTTCTTCTCGCCAACTGGTCCATACAGTAAGAATCGTTCCAAAAGGGCTTAAAAAAGCCAATTGATAGCGTTGTAACCACCACCACGGCCTTTTGGTTCACGCGCCTCTTTGAGGTTGTTGCCGGTGAGGATGTGTCCGAAAAGACGCGCATCTGTATGTAGGGTAGATAGGCGGGTCGTCAGATGTGGAACTGATATCCAGGTTGAAAACATATCCTGTTCATTTAGAATTGAAAGGTCAAGGACGTAGGTGGTTTTCTTCATTTGATTGAGGATCGATTGGGTTTCTAGCGAGACTCGACGACTTGTCAGGAGCAAAGGGAGACTGTTCGATGGGCTGTGCGTATCACGCTTCTCGTGGTATGACTTAAGGTGATGATTCGAGGCTGTGTATTCTGTGTCCATTGATCTCTACCATATTCGATTAGGATGGAGATATGGGTCGGGTGCGATGGCCATTGATTACCTTTGAAGACCATGACACGGATCTCCAGAGGGAGATCCATCAAGGAAGGCATGGTTGTTGAGCAGAGACCTGAAGATGCTTGAAGAGGTTGGCATCTATGTACTGGAATATTTCTGACAGCTGAGTCTGGGGGTTGAATGTGCTATTTATGTAATTATCAACCTCAAAGACATCACTCCCGCAACAACCATGTCCTTCTTTCCCGCTCTTTATTTGTTTGACTAACATTCAATGGAGGTACCCGTGGACGCTCATAACCTTGGAAGCCTTGTTGTGTATGTAACCAGTAGTGCTCCTCATTTTTACAGCCATATCAAGCAAGTACTACATGCTATACTACAAAAATATCAAAGAACATATATGTACTAATAGTGAGTACAGAGTCACCCAGACCACTAAAGAGAGGACAAGAAAATGGTATATTTTGTTAACATGATACCTGGAAGTATATGCACACCCTTCGAACAGGGTCCAACCATCAAAAGACAAACGTTGTATTAATATGAAAACACCCACCATGGACAAGAAACCTACCTAATCAGCTCCCACTCAGCAACATAAGCCCAAGCCATACCAACCCGGCCAACTTTCTCCTGGAACTCCTGCGCCGTAACATCACTAGCATCCTTCCGATCCCCGAAGCTAGTCAATACAGCCAACTGCAGCTTCTGACCCGGCGCACCGAGCATACGCGCGCTGGGGACATCCACATACCAGAACTCGCCACCGCCCGCGGGTCCGGAGCCTGGTACGTGCGTGAAAGGGAGCCTGTCGTCCTCGCGTCCATCCACACCATGGATCATAAGCAGGAACAAGCCAGGATGCTGGATGTGGCTGTGGCGAGCGAGTGTCCAGTGCGGACAGAGGAGACCGAATTGGAAGCGCATTGCGCCCGGCGTGCTGATGGAGACATGCAACCCTTGTGGGTGGAAGGTCTTGCGGCCGATGGTGCGCTTGTCGGCATCGCTGTAGACTTTTAGGCCTTCGACGCCGTTTGGTCGTTCCGGGTCCGTCAGGATGTACTCTTCCCAGGTTAGATCGGGACGTCCGTCCTCGCGGAAGAAATGGCCTTTGTTTTCTGGGAAGTGCTTTAGGCCGAATTCTTCGTTTGGGATCGAGAACATTGCCGGCTCGAATCGCTGCTTGTATGGCTGCCCGGCGCCTTCTACTGCTCCTGCGCCCCAGCAGGAGTCGATTAGCTTCCATCGGCCTCCGTCAACTTTGACAGCGTTCCAGGCATGGTTGCCTTCATATGGGGGGACTGGGGCCCCTGGTGCAAGAGCATTGTGTCCGAAGCCTTTGCCGTGGCCGCCGACTACTATTGCCTCTAGACCGGCGTAGGTGGCTAATGCTGCAAATAGTCCTGCGTAGCCTTCGCAGACTGCCATTCCAGATGCTAGAGTACTCGCCGGCGTGGAAGGCTTCACGCAGTTGTTAAAGAAGGCATAGGTATCGTAGAAGATGTTATGATGCAACCACGTAAATATCGCACGTGCCTTGTCTGTTATGGACGGGAACGGTGCCGTCAGCTCATTGGCCAGCCACTTCATATCCTGTGTGGGAAGCGATGCACGTGGGTACCGGGCTGCATGGTTATCGGGGCCTGAGAAGTCCCGACATATCAAGCATTCCGTGTCTGACGTCGGGGCCGGAGGGCTCGGGGAAACAGCTGACGCATTGAGACGTGGCTTTGTAGCCAGGATTTTGGATAGATCTGGACGAGACCCAAGCGGAATCGGAGGTGGTGTTCCATTGGGCGCGGTTCTGCTAGGTTTGGGTGGAAAGCTTGGACTTGTATTACCAAACCCGAACTGCCTAGCATCCTTGATTTGCGCAGCTGTTGGCGGAGGAGGCAATGTCCTCCGAATCGGCAGATCGGGAATCGAGTCATCACCAGTCCCATTTGTGTCTGCATGTACCCCAGATGGCCGGCGTGGTGGCAGTCGAGGCACCGGGGGTTCCTCTTCGGCCTCATACCGTGGGGGTGGCTCGCTAGGATGTGGAGACGAAGTAGGCCGTGGAGGCTGGGTAGGACGAGGAGGTTGACTCGGCCGTGCGTGCTGACTTGGAGGAGAGGGAACGGGCGGTTTAGAGCCCGGTAGCGACATTTTGGAGGTCAATCGGGCAGACAGGCTCCCAAAGCTCCTCTTACTACTAATCGTAGGCCGCGGGGGCGGCTCCAAGCTAGCTTGCTCCTTTGATCGGCGGGGAGGGAGCGCAGGCAGTTCTGCCTCGCCCCATGCAGGCGCCTTGATGCGATTGTTCCCAGTAGAGTTCACCGAGGTTGTCGATACGCCTCGCCCCGCTGTTGTAGCTGTTGACGTTGTCGAATATGACGCATCGGAAGTGACCGACTCAAGGGAAGGGCGGCGCTTTTGGTCCGTCGGTTTACGCGGTGGCAGCGGAGGACGAGCTGGTGTTGGGGAAGGGAGGCGCTCTGATCTTCGTGTGGGCAATGGCGGAGGGACTTTCGGCTTTGGTTTCACTTCAGGCCGGAGAGTTTCCATAGGAGGCGGTCGCAGGACCGGCCTCTGGGTTCTGTCGTCTGCGGGTTCATTTCCGATAGATGCTCGATCCACCACAGAGCTGACTGCATCGTATGAGGGAGGGTTGTTGGCTGACGCGCTCCGTTCGGGGGTCGGGCGGAAAGATGGTCCAGGGCCTCCCGGTGGGCGGGCCAGTTGCGACTGGTTGAGGGCGGCGATCCGTTGCTGGATAGAATTCAACTGAGGATCTTCGGCCATAGTGCTTGAACGTATATTGAGGGGAAAGTCCAGACGTGTCTAGATAAATTAGACAGCTCGAGCTTAGGTACCTTGTCCTTGGCTTGGCGGGGGCGAAAGTAGCCTTGTCAGACTCTGAAACACCCAGGATAAGTATTGCAAATATGAATTATCGCCGATAATTGATTTCAGTTACCTGAATCCCGGCGAGAAAGACGGGGAAATGCCAGTATATAAGAAAGAAAGGGAAAACAACAACAATAGGAGGCTCAAGTAAAGAGGTATCAGCCCTGCCACGGACTACCCACGGGTCCAGATCTATATTTGGAACTTCAAGGTACGGAGTAAAACAGGGGACACAATATAGATCTACAATTTAAGGCTCGGAGGAATTGTAAACAGAAGAGGTTTGAATGTATTTCCAGAATATCACGATTTGAACTCCCAAACACCTTAAGCCGGTGAAGCCCTCATCTGGAACACAAAAGAAAAAGGAAAAGGAAAACTAGGTACTTTCAGAGATGAATGAAGGAAGAAGATGAAGTAAAGAAAATGACAAGGAGAAGGTAGCAGTTAAAAAATAACAAGCCTCGAGATCTCCGACTGATAGCACGCAACCTGTTCAGAAGATCCCGAGACTGTGATACAGACATAAGAAAGGTCAGGTACATCGTTGGAGAAAGGAAAAGGAAATTCACAAAGTGGTAAAGCCGTGAGGGTAGAGGGCCAGCGTCGATCATCAGCAGCGTCACTTCGTCCCAATGTACATCATCGTCAGGGCAAACGGGCAATTCTTAGACATTCTTGTAGAGGAGCAAGGGCTCGCCAATGTTCTCAATCTCCGGAATGGTACACTTTAGATCGAACGCCTTGGCTAGAACGATCTTGAATATCTGCAGTGGATCAGCATGTATCCTATCAGACTTTAAATAAACCGAGCAATAGGGTATCAATGGCTGCAACGTACCTTTTGCACATTGATGCTGTGGCTGGTGCTGCTAAATATCAGACTAGCCTTCATGGCTTTAGCAAATCGCTTGGCCTGAAAATATGTTAGTTGTTGCGGAAAAATAGATGAGTATCGCCAAATACCTGGATAGAGATCTCCTCCTGATCCTCACGGGGGAAGTTCACAAAGTGATCATATTTGGTGCCCACTAGGAAGGGAATGGCTGTCTTATTGAAACCACGTCCCTGGCGATACCACTCCTTAATTGAGTTCAATGTACTCTTGCGAGTGAGATCAAACATGAAAAGAATTGCAACAGCGTCATTACAGACAAGCGGTAGCATATTAACAAACTCGCGCTGGCCACCAAGATCCCAAATCGAGAAGGTGATTTCAGTATTGCGAATTGAGATTGTCTTTTCCATAAAGTTGACACCTAGAAAAAGCCTCAGTTAGAAAAAACACAGCCACTGAATGGTCAGAAATTCAACTTACCCAATGTCTGGATGTAATCCTCGTCCCAGCTGCCCTCGACGTACTTGACCATCAAACTGGTCTTTCCGATCTGCGCATCGCCTACCATACCAACTTTAATCACCACGCTGTTCTTGTTAGCCTGAGAGGCTTGGCGCTGGCTAGCGTCTTGCTGCTGCAACTGGGAAACACCAGGGGCGCGCTCTGGGCCACTGGAGAGCCCAGATCCGGGCCTGGAGTTGGGAACCGGCAGGGGGTGGTGGCTGAGCAATGGAGATGAGTTCTGGCGGGATTGATCGGTATCCTGAGCGGCATATTCGGGGGCAGATTGATGGAATTCGGTCGATCGGGAGTGGTAATGCGCCTTCGAGTCGCTGTTATAGCCATTGTTGATGGCGGCACGGCTGATTGTGTGGTCGGAGGCCGGCTCTTCGACATTGACCGAGACGGGCGCAGGCTGTTCCGGAGGTTGGCCCAGAGGTTGTTCGAGGGGCTGCTCCAGAGGCTGATCGGGCGGAATCTCCTGTCCCTGGCTTTGTGGTTGCTCCTGCGCCTGTTGCGTCTGATCCTCTGGGGCAATCTGCCCAGATTCGGCGACGGCAGGAAAAGCGGCCGCTTCTACCCCAGGGGCACCAAGAGGCTCCGAATTCGGCTTACGAAACTCCATGACGTTTCAAGATCGGTTTCGGTGTAGAATACAGAGATGCAACCTGTCAAACAAGTCCTGACTGTCAGCATGTACGTGCTGGACGGAGGATTTCAGGAGGTGACTAACCGATATCACAGACCTTGG